AGGGAAAGGCGCGAGCGGAAGAGCTCAACAAACAGACAACCCCAAAACTGGCCAACTGAACTTAAAACGTAGCGGGGAGAAACTCGGCAGGCACTTGCTCCCTACTGGAGTATCGGAAAAAAATCTATTTTTTATGGGAAACATTTCGGTGGGGCATAAAAGCGTGTTGTGCGCGAGCGTTACTAAACCCGATAACAGCCATGGCTGCTGCACAGCTCACTCCCATAGCAAGCTTTCCTTCTTCCTTCCTGTGCTCGTCCGGTACCTCTTTAATATTTATTTTTTTGTTTCGCGCGTGGTGCTGACAATAAATATACTAACAAATATGTATTTGTGACCACCAGGCGAGGCGGTGTGGGGCCACTTGCAAACCGTGCTGGAGGGCGCGGCTGCCACTCACCACGACAGCGCCTCAGGTCCGACGCTGCGGCCGCCCGGCGGTACTATCCGCCAGAGCGACTTCTGCTATCGCGCTGCCGTCCGCGTGGGCACCTGGAAGGTTCAGCAGCCCCCCAATAAAATTATAAAATTTAATAAATAAATAATAATTATTAGTAGTATTATTCATTTGGTTTGTGATATATTCTAACAATGCCGTTTATGTCGTGTTCTCTGATTGGTAAAGGTGACGCGGGCCTTCATCGACGGGCAGCAAGTGGGCTTCGTGGTGCACCACGAATCCGTGTCGCCGCTGGAGCTCCTCAAGCGAGCGGCCGCCGTCGGCATCTCGCACGGCCAAACGCACGCCGACAAGGGCATCGTCTACGTCAACCGCTACGATTGGGTACCTCACCTCTCTTCACCATCATCATCATCATCTTCTACTTTCTTCAGACGTCATCACGCCGCCGGTGGATTGCTGGCAACACACGTGACATTGTGTGGTGTGGTTCCTCGATATGCAGTCGTGGCACCACGGCAAGGAGAACGACGTGACCGACGCGCTGGGCACCGATCCGGCCGACGTGAGCGAATGGGGCGACCCGCTGGTGACCAGCTACCGGGGCGGCCGTCTCTTCTTCATGGACGCGCAAGGCGTGCCGGCCTTTCTCGAGGCCTTGAAGTACGAAGACGCCTCACCCGCTACCTTCATAATTTTATATTTCTTTCTAATTTTTTCAAATATATATATCTCAATAATAGAAATGATGTTATGGTGGTGCTTACCCTCCTCTTTCTTCCAGGCCCGGCCAGCTTTGCACGACCAAGTCCGAGCTGGAGGACTGTGCGGCTCTGAAGAGTGGAGCAGGCGAGCCATTTGGGGTCCACGTAACGATGCCGGACACCGAATACGAGCTGGGCTGGCTGGCCTTCAGCGACAACGTACGTACAGCCACACACACCTCTCCACTCTTCAGTCGATGACCTTAGTTGATTGACTGGTGGACAAACAACAAACAACAAACAAAAACAAAAACAAAAACAAAACAGAAGCACGAGAAGTTCGACAAATCGGACGAGCTGGTCGGGCTGATCTACGACGGGGTCTACTCGTGCCTCCGCAACGGGGACGACGAGGAAGGCCAGCCATCTGTCGACTAACTCTGAACCAAAGCTGGTCATGTTTGTGTGTGGAAAAAATAACTGCTTGCCGTTCAGTTGTCTGTTCGTTGAGCTCTTCCGCTCGCGCTTTCCCTTTCCGCCCACCCACCACCCTTCACCACCACCGCTCACGACGGAGCGGAAGGAGGAGCGCACGTGGGCGCTCCACCCTGGGCCTCGAGCCGCCGCACCTCCCTCTCCGCCGTCGCACACAGCCGCCCGCCGGCCAGCGCCTTGCGCACGATGGCCCGCGCCACCCGATGCAGACTGCCCTCGCCCAGCCACACCGCCTCCAGCTCGTCCGCCGCGCTCTCTTCTCCTCCTCCTTCCGTTGCTGCTGGTGGTGGTGGTGGTGGTGGTGGTGGTCTCGAGGCACTGAACCGGTGCACCGAGAACGACTCGTGCTCCGACGCGCAGTCGTCGGCCTGGTAAGCGACCTTGAGGTGGTGCGGCGAGGACGACCGCGGATAGAAGGCCGCGTGCGACAGCAGCTTGGCCTCGTCGGAGTGCCGCTCGGCCAGCCGGAGCGCCACGGCCTGGGACTGGTAGTCGTCCGCCAGGTGCTGATCGCGCGCCTTGGCCCGCCACCGATGGAGAAAGCTGGCGTTGCGAGGCGCCACGATCACGCCCACGCCGGCCAGCTTGCGGTCGAGGCCGTCGCGGGCGAGCGAGACCGCTTGGCGAGCTCGCAAGGGCGCAAACGAGCGCACGACGAGCGCGTCGGTGTCGAGCAAGATGCCGCCCTCGTCGATGAGCACCCCGAGCCGCACGTCGTCCTCCCTCTGTTCCCCGCTGGTGGCGGTGGTGGAGTCCGCGATAAGGTGTAGCGAGGAGATGAGCGGCAGCGTGCACTCGTCCCACCAGGGACCCTCCGGCAGCGAACCGCCGCCGCCATGGCCTTGATCTTGGTGCCATCGGATGTGGTCAGGCTCGGTGTTGATGGCGGCGCTGAGCACAGAGATGTAGCTCCACACGTCCAGCCGCCGTCGCCGCCGCCGGGCAGAGGTGGTGTCATCTCGGCGAGGCGGGAAGATGTGGACCACGTTGGGCACGCGCGGCACGCTGTCCTCCTGCACCATGCGGCCCGACACGGCCGCTTCCGACCACACTCGCGGCGTGGTGTCCGACGAGATCACGCACCTGCGGCTGTTGGTGTACCAGCGCCAGGCCAGACACCACGGGAAGTCGCGCGAGCACCTGGCGCAGCACTCGGCCGAGCTGTTGACCACCTCCGTCTTGCCCACGAAGAAATCCACCGCTGCATTCTCCACTACCGACACCATCGGCACATCCTCCTCCTCCTCCTTCACTTCTGCCCCTCCACCGCCGGTTGCCGGTTCGTCAATGACGCAGCGCAGGTCGGAGCCCAACTCGCCGCCGACGTGGTAGTCGCGCGCCAGGTCGAAGTTGGCCAGGTCGATTCCGTTGTCGCGCGCCCACACAGCCGGCGTCTCCATCCAACCGTGGCCGAGGCCCGAGCCGTGGTAGGGGTTGGTCATGGCCACGGGCGGCCACATGAGCAGGGTCTGGTTGGGCCACTTTATCAGGCCCTTGGCGAAGGCCTGTTCGTCGATGGCCTCGCCCAAGGTGATCATCTGCTCGGCCACAAAGGCGACGGACTCGCGGCGCAAACCCAGCGCAAAGGACGAAGACATGCGGGTCGGGCGGGCGAAGCCGACATCGACAAAGTGGTCCAGCGCCTCGGCGTTCTGGTAGGTGGCTTGCCAGACCATCCCGCCGAGCCACAGAATGCGCCAGTCGCTCGGCATGCGACGCATGCGCGCATCGAAGGCGCGCGGGAAGTCGGCGCAGAAGGTGACGTCGTCTTCGAGAATGAGCACCCGCTCGAGGCCCGCCGACCGGGCCACGTAGTCCAGGATGCCCAGGTGCGTGAGGTAGAGAGCGAACACGCCCGGGTGCTGGTCGGGCAGATTGGTCATGACGAGTTTGGCCAGGTGGTGGGCGCCGGCCATGAGCTTGCCCTCCAGGGCGTGGACTAGCGTGTAGGGCACGCCCAGCGCGGCCAGCTGGGCGCGGACGCGAGCCAGCCGGTCGGTGGCGCGCGGCAGGGAGATGACGAAGATCTCGTCGAACACGTCTTCCAGGCGGCACAGGGTGCCCTCGGGAGGACACCCGGGCGCACGCCTCTGGCGGCTGACGTCGCCAGCGGTGGTGAGCAGCTCTTCGATTTTGATGAAGGGTGGATGGTGACCATCGTCTTCGAAGACCTTCCTGGTGGAGGCGCAGGGGGCGGAGCTGGCAGCGAGATGGACCCTGGGCAAAAAGGGTTGCTGCCAGGCTGGAGGGTCGAACTGCGGCAGCAGGAGGTAGGAGGTAGTGAAGGAGAGCGCTGCCACCATTGCCAGCACGGCGAGCTTGGAGAACCGGCGTCCGACCAACTTCATCGTCGAAAGAGGCGCGTTCGTATCACCCTTCACCCCCCATGTTCCGTGCCCCATCCACACAAGTCCGCTACCGCGGCTCGGACGTCTTCTGTTTGGGCTACAGAGCGGGTGAAGAAAAAAGGAGAAAAGGAAAAGTAAGTGAAAATAAATATTTTCTTTTCAGGCGCGGTTGAGTCACAAGAGTACCTTGTCCATGGCAGGGTGGAGGGCGGGATCCCAGTGCAAGCAGTGTGCCAGGAGTCACTTGAAGGTTATGGGGCAGTAGGTTGGGATGTTGTGATCCATACTGCTCATGACATAAGTGCCATCCTACTGGCACAAAAGAGCTAGAGTTTGTTCAAACTCTCTTTGTCATGCAACATCTGGGAGGGATTGTGGAAGTGGAATGCAATCAGGTGAAAATGAGAAGTGAGGAAGGAGTGGACCAAACAATTTTATCTTGTGGTCATTTGAAATGAGAGGTCACAAATGACCATGGAAGTTTGTTGAGCTAAAATCATGTGAGATTTGACAATTTTGATTTATAGTTTTGAAGATATGGATCTGCATGTGTGATTTTGACATGCTAGACTCTTATAATAGTGCTGCTTATAAGAGTGGAATTTTAACTTCAGGAAGAGTGCTCCAATTCAGCACAAAGGTGAAGAATGAAGTTCTATCTGTGAGTGCAACTGACTGAATATGTCTTACTGTTGGGGAGCGACCCAGTAACCATGGCTGCTCAAGGGTTCGCCCCTCCTTTGCTGAAATTTGTAATCTGTAGACTTTCTTTTGGGACAGGACAACAGGGGGGCAAGGTGAGAAAATAATTGTTGTTTTTAAAATCAATTTTGGATCTGAGTGGAAGGAATGGGAGGTCAAGGTTGGTGGTTGGTTTCACCCTGCCAAGACTTTCGCCTTGTCAGTGGTGGCCAACTTATCTCAGAACGGAGTTCTGAAGAGAAGAAGCCAAAATTCAGACCCCCACAAGGACCAGCACCAGCTGGGTTGCTCCCCAACGTAAAAGCAAGAGGGAATTGTAGGAGACAGAGGTGGGTGGGTCAGCAGTCAAAGCAAACCACTTGATGTACCTTTTGAACCTCCATGACATCTCAAAATTTCTATCACATATGTGTATACAACAAAAACTGTAAAACTGGATGAAGCAACAGATCACTTGACTGCTGACCCACCCAATGCTTCCCAACAGTATTTCTTATAATTATCCCATTGTGCTGACTGTACTCTCTTCACTGAGCTCCTCATTGCCTGCCAGAGACATGTCCAGTTCCTGAGCAAGGCCAGAAAGGTGGCCACATGCCTCATGGATAGGGACTTTATCCACCTCAAGAACAACATGGTAACTGGAGAGTGGGTATGTTCTCCTTTTCCATAAACTTGTGGTCATATTGAGGGATTTGAGATGAAAATGATTTGATAAAAACTTGGAATTTATGGAGTTAAAAGTGATTTTATCAGTGTGGAATGGAGTGGAATTTTAACTTCAGGAATAGTGCTCCAATTCAGCACAAATGTGAAGAATGAAGTTCAGTGCATGTGTGCAACTGACTGAATATGGTGTGAGGTTGAACATGAACTGGATGTGAGGGCAGCATGTTGGCCACTGATTATGGAATTGATGGAGGGTATGAAAGCAAAAGCAAGGTGCAGTTTGAGGGTGTTCAGAGGAGCACTTACACAAAACAAGCAAAAGTTCTGATTTTCCAGATCATGTATGTGCACATGATAAACTAAGTATTGGTAGGTCAAACATGTAGTCATTGTGTATGTGTATGTGATAAAGTATGTGTCTGGTTTTACAGTTTTTGTTGTTGTGTATGCATAGGTGCAAGCCATCAGCCATGGCCAACAACAAGGAACTGTTGAAGCTCCTGAAGGTGGTAACTGCCCCATTGCATACATGCTATTTTCAAAGCCCATTATGCTTTGAAACTGCAGGACATTCTATTGTGTACACATACATGATAGAATGTTTGCTAATTTATCTCCTCCTTGACTTTTTGTCCAGTTAAATCCCAGCAGCTGTGATTTTTCCTTTTATGGTTCTGTGCCAACCTTTCAGGAAAGTACCGAAAAAAATGTGCGTAGTCATCGCGTTCGCGTACGCGATAAAGTAAGTGTACCAAAACATGTACATGATAGAAATTGGTCATTCCAGACCTTGACTTGATGGCCCAGTTACAGCATCATATCTCTCATTATGATGGTATTTTAATCTGCCATTTCTCAGGATGCTCCCAATTTTGTCTTGCTATTCTTAAATTAAAACCATTTTTGTGTTGTCAAAACTATTTTTATGAGCTTAAACTCACAAACAAAATCACTTTTCAAAACGACTGGACCTCTCATTTCAAATGACCACAAGTTAATGGTTGTTGGAAATGTACAAATCAAATAGGCTCACCAATTGAAAGACTGGCAACTGGAAGTGGGGGTTAGGTGAGGGGAGGAGAGACTAGGGGGAGGAATATAGGGAGTAAGGAGGGGATGGTTGAGGGTGTTGAAGGCATTGGTTGTGCTCTGGCAGGTGTTGTCATCCACTGGTCATGTAGTCCTTGGGTGGGTACTCAAAGTTGGAGGCCTTGTTGGTGAATGGCAGGAGGTACCAGTAGTTTATGACAATGCTGATGGGAAGCAGCATGTTGTAGGTGGGTCAGGCATCATAGACCATGTGGACCTCCATGGTGGCTGGGAAGTCAATGCTGGTGAGGAGGAAGCTGTAGAAGCAGGGATGCAGGATGCAGAAGCACCTTGTTCTCAGCCATGAGAGCAAGGCTCGCCAGAATAGCTCTGATGTTGTCCTTGTTGGCAGGTGGTAGAGGAATGTGGGAGAGGTAGCAGTAAGGAGCACCAATAACTTGTGGTCATTTGAAATGAGAGGTCACAAATGACTGTGGAATTTTTGTTGTGCTAAAATTGTGTGAGATTTGACATTTTTGATTTATAGGGCAGTTTGGAAGATTTGGATCTGCATGTGTGATTTTGACATGCTAGACTGCTGCATTTCAGTGATATTGAGAGACTTGAGATGAAAATGATTTCATAAAAACTTGGAATTTGTGGAGTTAAAAGTGAATTTAGCAGCATGAAATGGAGTGGAATTTTAACTTCAGGAATAGTGCTCTAATTCAGCACAAATGTGAAGAATGAAGTTCTGTCTGTGAGTGCAACTGACTGAATATGGTGTGAGGTTGTACATGAACTGGAAGTGAGGGCACCATGTTGGCCACTGATTACGGAATTGATGGAGGGGGTGAAAGCAAAAGCAAGGTGCATTTTGAGGTTGTTCCAAGTAGCACTGACACAAAACAAGGTAGAGTCAGATTTTACTTTGCGCCAACATGTCTGTGATAAACAAAGAAATGGTAGTTTGAATGTGTAGACATCATGTACATGTACACAATAGAGTAAGCATCCAGTTTTACAGTTTTTGTCATCACATACATGTACATGATAAAACTTTTGAGATGGGTTGGAGTGAGCACTTGTCATGGAGGTTCAAAAGGTACATCAAGAGGTTCGCCCAGTCAGCCCAACATGCCATACATGGGGCGCTGTAACAAACCTCAGGTGCTGTGTGCAGATGTTTCACTGGATCTCAACAACCAGGGATTATACTTCATGCCAATCACAAAGGTTGAGAACATCTGGTCAATATCCTCATGGGTGTGTCCCACAGGCAGGAAGGATATGGTGATTGATCAAAACACCTTGTTGAACACCAGCCAGTGGCAGTAGGCCAGCATGTACTTGTTCTTGTTCTCCCAGCTGCAGTTGTCAAACTGTAGGTAGAGAGTCAACAGACAAAGTCCTGCTGCAGGAATAGCTAAGTGAAGGGTGAGGTGATGGTGCAGCAGAGACACTGCAAAGTCAGGACCACAGCCAAACTGGCCCTGGTGTAGGTACAGGGAGCAGCGGTGAAGGCCATGGTTGATAAATCCATGAATGCCAAGCTTGTAGAGGTGAAGGTCTTTCCAGGCCAAGGGCAGACGCACTAGGAGAGGTAGAATGATGTCAGTTGAACTGTCCATGATGATTGACAATGTTGCACCAGGATCAGCAACAGCCTCCTGTTGGTGGAGGTGATAAGCTTTCCTCTCTGCCTTGATGAGCTTGAGGTGATCCAGCTTCCACTGCTTCAGCTGCGCCCACTCTCTTGTGCTCATCGTCCAGTTGGTGAGGGTGTAATTTGTTGAGGCACAGATATTGCATGACATTTTATGGAAGTGAGTGAGACTCAACAGCTTTGCCTGGGTGAAGTGCTGGGCGTTCAGGGCATCCAAGTATTTCCAGTAGAGGTGATCCTTGGTCATGATCATTGGCATGTAGACAGAGGTAGAGTTGGGAGCATGACAGCCATACTGGAGTAAGGGAGAAGGTGAGCAAAACAGGTGATGAGTATCACATACACATACACAATAAAAACACTGGTGATTTATGGTAGTTGTGAGCATGATTAATGTACACATACACAATAGATAAGGGAAGTAATACCATGTTGGTGTACATGGTTATCCAAGCCATAGTGTCCATGGAAGTCCTTCCAGTTCAAAGAGTATCCACAATGGAGAAGTTGGACATTTTGTTCTTGGAGATTCTGTAAGCAAGCATGAACACCTGCCTGCAAACATGCTACTGGTGTAGTGAGGAAGCTATCTCCAATGTGCTGTAGTATGGACAATACCTGATGATGTAAATGGTAGAGTCAACAGTGGAGTGGTTGGTTCTCCATCAATGTCCTCAGCCATTGGCATGAAGCTGCCTGGGTCATGCTGAGATATTGGATGTGGCATGCTTGTATCTGTGATACATCAAACTTGCACAGACAGAGTGCAGAACAGCAGGGACTTGCAATGATCCAATTAAAGTCCAACGCCTCAACTGTTGAAAGCACTTTCACTGCTGGCTGTGGTGTACAGCAGTCCACTGATTCCATGATCTGCTGGCTGGATGTAGCCAGCTGACCAGTATCATCGCCACACACATCCAGAATGAGGGATAAAGGAATCTCAAGTACTGGTGTCATGGTGAGATCACTTTGATCCTCAGAATCACTCCCCAAGTGTGTGTCAGGGATGTCATATCCATTTTCTAAAAAAGGGTCAAAATGCCTGTAAGAAAAAAGAGATGATTTCAGACAGGATAGTTATCACATACATGTACACAATGATTTTGTGCATGCAAGTGGAGAAATGAAAATGATGTAAACATAGTTAAATCATCACATATGTGTACACAATGATAAAATAGGAATTAAAACTACAGCATACATATTGTCATGATAAATAGAATTTCACTTGGTACATCAAAATTTTGATAAAGAAGGTCAAGAATTACAGGAAAAATCGAAAAGAAGTATGGGACAAACCAGGTATCACCATCCAATGCTTCCATGGGTGAGCAGTTGAGAGATGTGGTGGGGTGAGAGGGTAGGATAAGAATTGAAGTTAGTGTCAACACAAACCAGTCTACCATCTAACCAGCAGCCAATGCCATCTCACCCATGAAGACAGCAAAATTTCAGAGCAGGCTGTCACCATTGGTGGCCTTGAGCCTAACACTTTTTAAGAAATGTCTGCAAAAAATCTCATTGGTTGAGCGTAGTCCTTTTAAGGCTGAACATGGTACAATGGTCATTATTCTTTTCCAACCTACACACAACAACATGAGTGACAACCTTACCCAGTCCACAAGCAGCATTCCATCCATGGTAACAACCTGCCACAACACAGCTGAGCTTGCCAAGTGGATGGTCAAGCAACTGGAGTGGAAGAAGCAGAAGGAGAGCAACCTCAAGAAGAAGAGCCTCAGCAAACTTCAAAACATGTGCACAGTAAGTCAATAGCACAGTTTGTTTAATGAAAGTAGTGTGATTTAATCAAATCATGTGTCTTCCACTTCAGAATTACTTCACAAGTGTGGCAGAGGCAGAGAAGAACAAGGCAAAACCAACTGAATCAGTACACACCATCCCATCACATATGCATACACAATGAAATCTTATTAGCATATAAAGACACAATTTCATCACATACACATACACAATGAAATATCATTTTAAAAAACAATACAACTAATTTATGCCATCCTTTCATTTTGTGGTGTCATCTCATCATAATAACAGTTGTTTCATTATACTCCATATTTCCATTCTATTCAACAATATTGACTCTTATAATCAATTATAACCACCATTTATATAGGTAATTTATCACATACACATACATGATAGAACAACTGATATACTTCTCAATC